CCTTGAACCTAAAAAAATGATGGAAGAACTGTAGCATAACTCACATTGTCTGTGCTGAGGAAAGAAGACGTCCTGAACGGGTTAACTTGACACCAGCCCCTAATCGAATGTTTTAGTTTGATGGTTTTAACTAGGCCAACAATTTTTGTTCTCCTTTAATACTAACAGGAGGGAAAATTGTACGGCAATCCTTCCGAACGATACTTAATCATATCACCAACTGAAACAGAATCAAGTAGCTTTTGAAATAAAGGGAATTGTCCAGTCAAATGATACACACAATATACGCATTACGGAATTCTTAAAGATTGTCGGAGGGCGTACCTCAGTCAAAACGGCGATAAGCAAATTCTTGTGCTGGTGTCTTTTTCGACGCAGGGTAATAACATGGTTCTATTGTTAGTTTTAACATTTTTCCCACTAAAAATTAAAATTGGTTTAATCAAAATACCATTAAGCTGTGGTCTTCGCCGAACTTTATAAGATTATTACCTCCTTTGGATTGCTCAATAAGAAATCTCGCAAAATCTTGCAATTAATGAAATCCAAATAGATAGTCCAAACAAATTGCTTTATTTTCAATTTCTTTCTTTTTCAATCATGAAAAAATCTTTCCTTTTAATAACAGTAGCTCAGCATTTGTGATGCTTACGTTACACATTTGGATGTTGCTCAATATGAGTAAAACCTGGAGCCACACGACACTTACAGGCTTAGAAGACTGGAGAGTCCCGTAGAGTCATTTGATTCAATGGAGTCAATGCTAACAGTACCAATATCCCTGCAAAAGACGAAACCAATAACTTAATTGAAACACACTGAAAAGGTCATGACGGTATTTAAAATTCGAGGGAAGGTAATTAGTTTTAGAATCCTTGACAGGATAATGAAGCCTTTTCCCAAAAAAAACCTGTATTTATAGCATGATTATTAAAAGTTAAGAAGATAGCAGTCAGAGAACAGCGTTTGCGCCCAGGCATACATCCATTCTTAGCACTCAGGTATAAAAGGTCAATTTGATTCAAGACGTGATATCGAATTTTGTGGCACTTAGTTACGTGACGTGATATTT